AGGCTGGCGGGGAGCCGCCTTAGGGATCTGAGCATGATAGGTCGGCCGTGGAACTTGACCGGATACTGGGTGCGGACCAGGCACAGCGCGAGTGGGCTGGTCGATGGGGAATAAGAAAGCAGCCGGAATCGTCATCTTCACGAGCGTTGAAAGGAGTAAGAACTGGAGCGCAGGACTGGGAGGAGAGGCACATTTGAATGGTTGACTTGTGAATAAGCCGGCAAGTTGAAAAGTGCGAAAAAAGCCAAGGTAAGCCCGTTTAATGCAAAAATTGTCACATGAGCTTAGTCGCGGCTTCCTAGAAGCAAACCCCTCGTAAAGCAGTCACAAGTAGATCCAAAAGTATGAAACTATTAAGATCAAAATACGGGGACTACGTCTCGACGAAATGCTGGGAAAGTCTGTAAGAAATAAGGTAAGAGTCGTTGTGAAACATGAATCGCACTGTAGCACGCACAGCAGATCTTCATATACCAAGATACTTCACCACAATGCCGTAAGAGAATACTTAGGAGTGCCGAATTCTGTGCGGCAGATGATATTGTTTTGCAGCTCGGAATCCAATCGAACGTTGAAGTCCTGAAACTCCAATCCGTCTTCCTCTCCATCGCCAGTTTTGAAAGACCAAAATCATGAGTCCATACTTACGGCCAACACTATGCCGAAGAAGATGGTTAAAATTATGTTGGCATGTCTCCCTTTGTGCCGACCCACTTTTAATTATGCTTGCTTAGCAGTAGGCGCTTTTACTTCCGAGATAAATGCCCAAATGGAAGTCATGTATCTTGTGTGGTATTCTTTAGTCAAGATCCAGATCATGGAGTACCACCACAAGTCGGGTGTCAAGTGGGTCAGCGACGAAATACAGTATACCCTCAAAAAGGATTAGTAATGCAATATTGCAGCTGACTGTTCAAATAAAGCCGTATCGGAAGTCAGCGCCACAAAGCTTCTGCATCACAACACAAATCGACCCTGAAAAGTACGCTGTATGCATCACCTTATAAATTGGCGGCATCATTATCATGACATGAGACAATTTATAGCCGGGTGCCGCAATAGCGCATCCACAACCACCACATTGAGCTGTTCGGGCTAGCAGAGTACTTCGAGCGAATAATCAGCAGAAAAATTCGGCCATTCTTTTAAAGCAATGTAGTTGCGATGTCGCTATCGGCAATGCACGCATGATCTGTATACATCACAATTATCTTAAAACCAAGCTCGTGATAAGAAGTGCATACTTCGTTGCAAGCAGATTTTTGAACTGGTCTGGGTAGATCTCCATACTGGTAAGACTGAAGCGCGATTACGCACCCATGCCCTTTACTATGCTTGGATTGAAGCTTAGCCGATTGTAAAGACGAGAGATTTACAGACGATACGGAATGACCGACCTAATTTACCGAGGCAGACTCCAAATTCAAGATGCTTTCTCGCGGCTTAAGAGCTACCTCTTCTACCTCGCCGCAGCATCATCCAGTAGTTATACATGTATTTTGATTTAATTATATATATTTAGGAAAATCTATACATTTAAAATTCGGCGGATTTGCCGCAGATAAAAATGTGTAAAGTCAGATTTTGATTTAAACAGAAGTGTTAATTAGCCTTGGGTTAAGGCAATAATTATTGGAGTAAGCGGATTGCGATCCGCCAAACTCGTACTTGTTCTAAGTATAGAACGAAAGGTCGGTGGTCTAACTTACGCGTCCTCAAAGCGCAAAGCTACGGCAGCCAAAGAGCTGACGCTAAGTAAGCTATTACTTTCGCTTGCCAATAATGCGCCATGCCTCCCGCGAAAAATAGCGTTTTTGATGTCACTTGACCTTTGGTAAGGGACAATGTAAGTTGCATACAATCTCATATTTGAAAGTATCTCTTTCTAGGCTGACAACATGATGCACTTTCCGATCCGAGGGCAACACGCGCGGCAAGTTCCTTTGAAATCTCGTCGACGAGCAAAGGAACGAAACAATTCTTAGGTTCTTCGCAGACAGTGCTCTGGAGTTGGAGATTTATTCACGACGAATGATGTGCTCAACTCCCTCTGTACCACCAGTACCAGCTCGATGATTCACCGCCTTCCAATTTGCTGCACATGTCTCATAAGTTTGCTGTTTGAGCTCAATTGAAGCTTATAGTTGAGAAAATGACGATCACATAATGACTTCTATTCATACCCCGTCACTCCATTTACGGGTGATTAGATTATCCTCGCCAAAAGCCCGTGGAGCTGCAGTACTTCGTTGTGTGTATTTCACGAAATTTATAAAGCTGCAGTTTTGTTTAAGTGATGGGAATGGACAATCTCAGGAACTAGTCTTTCTGCTCACGACTTACCTTGCTCGGAAGCTGTGCTGCTCTGACTCCTCCCTTAAGCATCGACTCCAGCGCTCACGATAAACAGCAGACCTTATTCGACCCATCAATTTTCATTTCTTGGAGAGCTCAGGTTACAGCTGTTAACCATTTGATCTCAGGTACAGTCTGTAGACCGCGATATACGATCGGAACTACCGTCACATCTAAAGACTCCGCTTCAACTTTTCAAGTATCGGCCAATCCCATACCCTGTACCAAAACTATCGCAGACTTTTGCCCACGCCAATAATTCTTACTTTAGCTAAATTGAAAAAATTACACGTCTCTGCTTCATTCTCATTTTTATGAAAAGCTTCTAAGATTAAAGAATAATACCCCACAATGGGTAGAATAACTGCCAAATAACATCAAATTCTTCTAACCTTCCAAACATCATGAAACTTCATATTTTTGAGTCAAGAAAGATAACTTATTTACTTTTCAGGTCATTATTAAAAGGAAGGAAAGTTCTACCAGAGCTCTGAAAAATGGCCGATGGCTACGACCCCCAGAAATCTCGCGTGGCTGAAGATACGCTAGCAGACTTCTTGCGCGCACCACTCACCGGCGACTTGACAGAGGTACCGGGTATTGGTAAAGCTGCAGTCACAAAGCTCGCTGGGTCAGATGATGGGACTGAGGCCGTGACGAATACGTTCCAGCTCATTGGGAAGTTTTTGCTACTTAAGGTATGAATGAAACACAGAGGGTTTAGATACACAACATAGCCCAAGATATTTATTTATAGGCCAATTCAGACGACGATGGTGACGACGTGATCGACTGCGCAGCCCATTGCGACGCCTTCTGGTTCTGGCTAAAATCCAAAGGCATAACGGCCTATAGAAGGTGGCTTAGTGCTTGTGAATTCCCTCTTCCTCCTGTGACGAAACTGACGATTCATGCTAATGTGGTAATAGTGGGATTGTGATGGCTATTGCCGAGAAGGTGAATACGATGCTGCCGGGTATATATGACGCAGCGGACTTTCAATAGAGCAACAGCACAAATTTAGGCTGTGTTGATGAGCAAACTCTGGTTACATGAGGTATACAAATTATCTTGTTGACTCTGTAAAAGCCATTTAATGGAATGTCCCAAAAGCTTTTGCGTATTGGTAAATGATATCCATCCTTGATTCAAAACGAAAAGTAGGTTGATCATGGCATCCCCGCTCCACATGAATCACTTTGCCCATTAATGCGTCCACTTTACTCATCAGAGTGCGTGAGGACAAGTGGTTCAAATAATGAGTCGCATGAGAACGGAATTGATTGAAAATGCTCGCCAGCCTCAAAATTTGAAAGTGAAACAGCCATATCGAGATTGACGCACTCATTGAGCGTGCGTAATTTAATCTCATCCATAGACCGACTGCTATCTTGTTGCTTAAATGTATCAGTGGAAGGTAGAATGATGTCGTGAAGCTCCTCTACCAAAATATTTAGTGCTTGCTCCGAAGACGCGCCAGTAAGATTATATTCCTCGCCATTCTTCATCGGATTTGTCAGCCACTGTGGGTCATAGTCTGTTTCCATGGTCAAAACATTTCTATATGCACTGCTGTTACAATTTTCAGCATCTGCGGACGGCAGCAATTCTGCGAGAGCTCGCTTACGCCTGGAATTTGAGGATGCGTCAGCACCTGAACGCATGCAATTGGTAAGAGGGCGTCGACTGATAAAGTCGGTCAGCTGCTGAGGATGACAGCGTACGAGGTAGTGATGACTAAAAGTGCAGACACTTGCCTGTGTCTTAGTCCATTTGCGGAAGCCAAAGTTGTTGAGCTGGCGCTGAAGGCTGGCAAACTTGCCGTGCTTGAAGTAATTAGGCAATACCATAGTCTCGAGCCGCATCGTGTCGAAAATCTGGAAATAAGTGCCGTCGCTCGACCACGATATGATTGACTGATCCTCGTACTGCAGGATATCGTACAAATTCCGCAAGAACTTAGGCACTCGCATTGCGCGGATCGTGCTCGACTTAAAGGTGGCGGTGTCAACAATTGAGCTCACATTGTTGCTCTTCGGGTGACTGAGATGTTGCATGGGTTGAACTTGCATTTCTTGCATCATAGTGCAGTAATCAAAAGAGAGAAACTGTTTGGAAGAGATCCAATTTTAAAATGGCGCAGATTTTGCCGTGCCTTCATATTGCCGCTTTGTTCCGCTTTTCAGTGGCTTGGTGGTATATGTCCTTAGCGACAGCACCAAACACGAACACACAATAACAGAGCCGTGCAAGCAGACGCAAGTTCTTTCACGCTTAAGGTCAGCGCACTCACTGAAACGAGCAGCTCCGGCGTTTAAATCTATGGGGCGTCCGCTCGCTTTCTCCTTGACGGCCCATTTGAAAGCTTTAATATTGAGGCACTGACGCAAGGCTATCTTTCGCCTGTCCTCCTCTGAACTGATTTCACAAAACTTGAATTTCTCAAGATCATCGAATCATTACATTTCCGCCGTGTAATTTTTGTGAACGGCTTCTGTGTATGTGCGAGAATAATTAGACGCTTAGCTCCGTAACCAATATTATCTCTGTTATAATACGTACGTTAATAAAAATCATGGAGAAAACGTTACTTGTGCATTTTAATGTGCGAACAAAGTTAGCATCATCATATCTAATTTGACAGCTTCTTGTGCTTGACACGAAATCGAATCTACGATCTACGAGTACTTTTCAAGCAAACCGCACCTATCTTCTAAATGATATCGAATACCTTTTTGAGCTTAATGACGAGCTGCCAATCCTCCTTCTGCAAATCTTCCCGGAAATTTTCTTTTAATGCATCGATGCTCTGGCGAGTAAGGCGCGATACTAATTGATTTTTGGAGTCAAAGTGACGGCCGTACATGACGCTACTCTCGTTGTCTATCCGCACAGCTACAGATGCGCCCTTTTTGGCGCGGTCTACTTCCTTATGCTCACGCTCAATGGACCCTACTTTGCCAATATATAAACCGCCGGCAGATGGGACAACGAGAGGTGTACCAATCTTGACGATACCTTCCTCAACATCGACACCAAGAATAATTGGATCCTTCTTGTTGAATATACAATTAGGCAGAATTTTTAGCACGCATGGAAACACAGCTACCTCCGCAAATTCCTCTCGACGTGCCATGCGAAAATTATCCATGTATGCCGTGAATTGATCAAACAGGTGATAAATGATATCGGCTGTGAAAATTCGCACTCCAAGTTCCGTAGCAAGCTCTGTGGCATCGCTGTGGACCTTCACATCAAATGCGAGAATGGTAGCAAATTCGGGCTGGTGCTCAAGCTGCACTGAAGCACGCATCACGTCTTTTTTGTGGACAGGACCAATGTTGACGCAAGACACTGGAATGGGCGGATCGCACGTACGGAGGAATTCCAATAGTGCCTCTAAGGCGCCCAATGTGGAAGCCTGAACCATGACACCGCGGCGGGTAGCCTTCACGGAGTCCAGTATACCTGTTAGGTCAGACATGACCGAGTCTTTCAATTCTTCCACATCGTCATCAGGGCCAACCGTATATATTTGTGTACCAGCAACGGCCTTCTCGAGGCCCTGCGCGCAAATTTTTACACCCATCGCTGCTTTCATCTTTTGGTGGTGGATGTACTCGCCCTTAACACGAATCTCTTTCATCGGGTGCGGGGTGAGCAACGATCGGATTGTTGTCACCACCGGACCATCCAATGTGCAGACAACAATTGTTGCACCTTCCTCTAGTGTTCCATTTACTAAAATTGTATCAATTGTTGTACCTAGGCCTTCAATAACCTTCACTTCCAGCACAGTACACTGAAGAATATCGACAAATGCCAGCGATCTGGCCATACGCTCCTGCGTAAGGCGCGTGAGCATCATCAACAGGTCCGATACCCCTTCACCAGAGATAGCACTAGTAGGGATGAGTGAAACCGTGTGTGCCAAGTCCTTATTGCGCCAGTACACCTCTGCATTTAGCTTTTGCTCCGCAAATTCCACAATAATCGACTTCATTCGATCCTCGAATTCGCGAATGACATGCTCATTTTGATGCTTTAATGCCTCTTGAACAGGCGTGTCAAGCATTGTTTTCCAGCCATAACAACGATCGATTTTGTTGAGCGCCACCACAAAAGGAGCTTTCTTTTGACGCAATAGGCGTAGTGACTCTAAAGTCTGAGGCTCCAGCCCATGCATGATATCTACAACTAGAATCGCAATGTCACACAGCGAGGAACCACGAGAACGTAAATTCGTGAATGACTCGTGACCAGGAGTATCAATCACGAGCAGACCTGGCAGACGATACTCAAGATGCATCACCTCAGCAAGCCTGGCAGTCTTCTGCTTGATGGCCTCCACAGGAAAGAATGTCGCACCAATCTGCTGCGTGATTCCACCGGCTTCTGCATCCTGCACCTTCGTGCGACGAATATTGTCTAAAAGCTTCGTTTTACCAGTGTCAACGTGACCCATGATACAGCAAATAGGTGAGCGCAAATTGTCCAAAGAAACATTGGCACGCGCTTCGGCTTCGCGCTTGTGTCGACGCTCTGCAGCCTCTTTTTTCTTGCGCTCGGCTTCAAGCTTGGCTTTAGAGCACAAACGCTCTTCCTCGGCATCCTGACGCATCTGCTCGGCCTGCTCCTCCTGACGTTTTTTCAATGCAATTCCCTGCAAACGTAAACGCTCCTGCTCCTTCTTGTGCTCCAGCACCAGCAGGTCTTCATCCCCGTCGCTGTCGACTTCGGCAGCGGTATTCTCTTCCTTTGCCTCTTGCAGCTTGTCTTCCAGCGAGGCGACAACATCATTTTTTTCCCAGTCTTCGTCGTCCCATGCATCTGGAGCTTCCACCTCTTTTTCTTGCGATTCAACGTCTTCTTTAGCTAATTCCCTGTCGTCTAATGTCACTTCCTCTTCGTTCGCAATAGCCTTAGATTTTTCCTTATGAGAACCTTCCTTTTTTACTTCATTTGTGTTCTTGGTCTTCTTCTTGTGGGATGCATACACAACCTTTTTCTTCTCATCCGCAACCCCCGGTACAAGACCTGCTTGCTGCATCGCTTCGAGTGCAGCTTGTGCTTTGGCGGCTTTCTGCTTTTGAGCCTTAGTCATGTACGTTCCCTCCTTCTTTTGACGATCAATCTTGGCGGCGCGCGCCTCCTTCTTCTTGCGGCGTATTTCTTCCTCGCGCTCAATTTCGGCCAGTCGCTTAGATTCTTCCTCTTGGGCTATACGCTCCTGCTCTAAACGCTCCTGCTCAAGACGCTCTTGCTCAGCCTTCAAAGCTGCCTGGCGCTCCACCAGCGCCTTTGCAGCAGCTGATATGGGCTTCCTATCGTCATCCTTTTTGGCGTCAACATTCAGCTTCTTCTTGCCCTTTTTCTTCTTTTTCTTATCATCCTTCTTTTCGCCGCCAGCAGAAGGAGCCACGCCTAAAGATGCCAGGTAAGCGGCAGCGGCAGCGTCCACATCCGACCCCTCCTCCTTATTTTGCTCTTCCTTGA